AGATAGTCTTTAACCCATAAACACTGGCAGCAAAAATAGAACTATCTTTCACTGCTTCTTTAAGCCTCTGGGAATCTAGTAATTTTTGCATTCTAACTACATAGTAGTCATTTTTTTATACATGTACATTCTTGAAACAGCATCTTTATCCTCATTACTAATAATTATCCATACTTTACAATACCGGTGAAGCTCTCATGGAAGATTGCCTGTTAATTTTTTCACGCCCCATTCTTTGTACTTATTTGGCAGATGTCCTTCTTGTAGAAGCTTTTCTGCAAGAATAAACCAATAAATTAGAAAATGCACTCTATATCGGTGAACTAGAGGTATCATGCTACACTATATTCAAAAATAGCAATAAAATCTTTTTTTTTTCACGGACTAGTTACATTACAAAAGTGAGTGGTTTTCAGAATATGATGATTTTTGAAGAATGTTTTTTCACCATTGGCATTTCTTCCCCTCAAAAATCTCTCTATACCGATAAACTATAGATACCATATTACAATTCACCTAAATATGGAACTAAAACCTTACTTTTTTGTGACTAGTAGCATTCCAAAATACACATAGTTGCTTCGCACTCAAAAAATAAATTATAATGTGACACCTCCAGTTGTGCGTGAAAATGAAATCTGTCAAAATTTCGTCCCCAAAATTTTAATTATTATTATAAATTTCGATTTCACGTAATTTCAATTTCACAAACAACATACCACTTGATTTACGATACATAAAAGTTGTTCCAGACTTTCGAAATACCTAAATGAAACAAGAAAGAGAAAATGTGAACAACGATTAAAAAGGCAATATGGCCAAGTTATTGTTGTTATCGCTTTATAATAATTCTGTTTTTATTAGTATATTAATATCACGAACTAAAACTATTTTTTTTACACTAAACTAACAATAAAATCATGTCTAGCTCATCTGCTCCATCAATTGAAATTTTCACCCCTTTATATATCTTTTTAAAAACCACATCTTTAGATAAAATTACCATTTCCAATATAATTACTCAACAATGGGAATGTGTCAAAATTAAGGATAAAGAACGTAGATGACATCTTGAATCATTGCAAAATATTAATCAGGTATTTTTTACCGCTTTGATATTCGTATATTGGATAATAAAGTGATGAATAAATATCTAGACATTAATAAGTATAATAAGATTGAAAAGTAACATATTGTCAGCGAGAATCCCTTTTATTATACTTATTATGATGATTTTTTAAGACAATGATGCCGACTATTTCTGATTAGGATGGATATTTGTGCAAAAAAATAATGATGCCTTATTAACCCATCTTTATATTTATAGATGTTATTTATTAGGAACGAACTAACATCATTAAAAAATATGGGGCTCTTACATGGGAAATTCGATGAAGAAGTGAATTGGAAAGATTTAGCCTTAAATAATATATTGCTTTTGAAGAAAAAATCAAGTTATTTCGTTTATCTAATTTGGATTTTCTTTTTTTACGACTTTTTTCAATCTATTAGAATGAAGAGACACCGCACATGAGCATATTTTCACAAAAGTGAGATGAATTATCAAATGACGATCCATTATGTATTGGAATGATTGATCTTAGTTTAGAACTCGCGCTATATAATAATTAATTTTTTTTTTTGGAAAAAATGAATAGACTGATCTGCAATATTGATTTGTGGTTACCTTTAATAACTGCATAGAAAAGATTCGTAGAAAATTGCTAAACTAAAATGATGTTAGCCGGCTATATTTACATGCACAATTTCTAATTTTGATAATGGTTTTTCGCGTTAATTTACAAATTAGGTAATGAGTGGCTTAGCACTAAAGATTTTTAAACGAACAAGTCACTAAATAAAATATATTCTATGAAATTTATTTTTCACCTTCATATCCTCAATTTAAAATCCTTTGCTTTTTTTTGAGATTAAATACAAATGTCTTGGGCTCTTGCTTCACATTCCACGCTAATTAGTGATTACCGTCGTCATCGAGTTGGAAATGCCTCACCACCACCGGAAAACAATCATGTTAGATTGCGGTATTTTCAGAAAAGGTGTGTGCTCTATATCATCAAGTTTTGATGTTTTTAAATAAAATTTATTGTACATATTTTTTCTTTTTTCTTATGCACGCAATTACATTTTGATATAATAATAGAATCCCAGGTTTTAGTGTCGCACCTTATGATCCCCCACCTCCGCTGTCACAAAATCCTAGACAACCAAGTAAATATCAGGCGTGTTTAATGTGACTTGACCAACTTTTTAATTTATATTTTTTTTCATAATTAGAGATTTGCATCATCGGAGCAGGGATGTCAGGTATGTCATATAAATATTCAAAATAATAATAAATCTTTTGATGACATTATTTAAATCATTGTTTCTCAACTCTGTCATAATGAACGGATAGGACTATTTTCTGCGTTACTCTTACAGAAAGCTGGTATTCAAGATATTACGATTCTTGAATGTCAAGATCGCGTAGGCGGACGTGTGCATACACAGTATTTTAGTGAAAAAAAGGAAGAAAAATTATATGGTGAGCTTGGAGCTATGAGACTACCGGTAACTCCAGAACATCAAATGGTGTTCGATACTATTGATTATTTGAATGAGCGCATTCCTGAAGACGACCGGATCCATCTTATCAATTTTATCTTTTCAAATGACAAGTATGAAATTATTCAATTTTTTATCATGTGTTAAATAGTGATTGATTGAGGCGTTAGCATTAAATCTATTTCTGACACAATCAATAATCAAACAGCGGTTTATATTTTTATAATGATTCCCGCGACAATGGTCAAATTGGGGATATAGCATGGGCAAACGATTCTCAAAATTTCAACAAGCTTGGGTTCGCATCAACTGTTAATCCTGATTACCAAACATTACTCAAAAAAGCAATGGGTGATTTTATCGATGCCCTGAATTCAGATTTTGACTCAGGGCTCGATTATCTCTTGAAATTTGACCAACATAGTGTGTACTCGTATCTCAAAGAAGTCTACTTTCCTAGTCTCGATCCAAACTTGAATCAAAAGTATAATGTTGATGAAACCATCGGTGCGATGGAAATGACAGAATCTGCAACAGGATTATTTAGACTTTCGTTTGTTGAAGCTGTGATGGATGCTTATACATTTTCGAAGGTTTCCCAAGAGTGGAAAACGATTGATAACGGAATGCAACGATTTCCTAATGCATTCCCGCTTGTTTATGCAAATGAAAAGCGTGGAAAAGTAGATGTTAAGTATAAATGTAAAGTTTATAAATTAGAAAACATAGATGTAGATGGAATATTGAAATTGCGTGTACATTGGGAAGAAAACGGATCTGATAATGTGCGTGTTTTTGATAGAGTTATAATTACTTGCCCATTGGGCGTCGTTCGTCATTGGGAATTACCTGGTTGGTTATGCAAAAAATTAATATTTTCTTTGGGTAATTAATTTATAGCGTTACTGACATTTACGTTTTGTAGAATTAAAAAGTTTAGAAGACCCAAAAACAAGCGATAATTTTTATTACAAAAGACGTGCAATTCGAGAATTGAATTATGATAACTCTGCTAAAATCTTTTTGAAATTCAATTCTCGCTTTTGGGAAAACCAAACGGATTCACCCATTGTCGGAGGTAGCTCTACAACTGATCTCCCAATTCGGACAGTCATCTATCCATCATATTATGTTGGCATGCCAATAGATAAACCTGCCATCCTTCTCGGCTCTTATACTTGGGCAAATGATGCAGCAAAATTTGCTCCATACTCGCAACAGGAGAATGCCAGACTTTGTATTAAAGACCTTAAAATTCTCCATGGAGATCAGGTGGAGAAAGAATGGGATAGTGACCCAAAATATAATTCATCCATCTACTGGCCAAATGACCCAACCACTGTTGGAGCTTTTGCTCTTTTTGGTCCAGGACAATATAGCGACCTAATTTATCCAATGATAAAACCAATGTATAATATACATTGGGCTGGTGAATACACTGATATACATCATGCTTGGATTGTTGGGGCTTTGAATTCAGCTGTTCGAGTTGTTAAAGAAATTTTGATTCATTCTGCTATGGAAGAAGAATGGAGGGAGTTGATCAATGAACAACCATTGAAAAATTGGCACGGGCATTTAGAGGACGGCAACACAACATATTAATGTCAAAGTGTCATATTTGGTTAAAAATTTTATCAATGTGATCATGTCTTATCATATAATTAAACAACCCATTTTTTTTTGTATATACTTAGCTCAATTACATTTGCTTATTCTTTTGCCCTATAAAAAGATGGAATATCCTATATACAGAAAGGTTCTTTTTTTGAAATATACAGAACCCTACCAAAAATGGAAATTTATTCTATAAAAAAGGAAACTAAATTGCAGCTCAAATTTTCGTAACGTCCTCGTGATGGTTATTTATATGTGACGATTAAACTTGTGAGTTCAACTCTAAAAATAAATTCTTATTTGTCATGTAGGTTCTGTATATTTCATAAAAAGAACCTTTCTGTATATCAGATGACCCTAAAAGATTTGGTAGTTACATAGTCTTAAAACCATGTAACTAGTTTGCTAGACTATGTATCATCTAATGGGGCTAGAGTATGTATCTACTAGATAGACATAACTATGGCTATTAACCTAGTAAGTCGAGTTGTATGCTGTGTTGGTTGGTACAATTTCTTTCATTCGAGGTCATGCACATTAATGTGGTTGCTGGCTTTCATTCAATTATCAAATGTTTTCATAGATGCTCCCAATGAATAGGTTAGAAATATTGCTCACCTGTACATTTCAAATTCTGACATTTACATAGAGAAACTATTCTCTCTACAATTTTTTTAATGATAGGATTCACTCCATGTATAAGGCAACCTGAAATTAACTATTATAATAATCATGTTAATTTAAACATTTATAAAAAAAATATCTATAAAATAATTTTGTTAAATTTATTATTAAGAATCTTATGAGCCTTTTTCATGTTGGCTGCATTATCAGTCAAAACTGCAAAAACTTTATCTTGGCCAACTTCATTAATTACTTCTAATTTTTCTGAGATATATTCAACAGTGTGTGATGATTCTTTGGTTTCTAATGCCTTCCAAAATAGTGGTTTTTGGTAAAGTAACCATGAAATTAATAATTGATTTGTTACAGTTGTCTACCCAGCCATCATCACTTGTTATACAGACATATTTCAAATTTTCAATTTGATTATTGTTATTTTCAGTAATTTCATTATATTTATCATTTAACAATTTGATAGTGAGTGTTTTTCTGGATGATAATTCATAAGCAGGACATGGTTTTTTACAAAATTTGATGAAATACTGATTTTCTACAATTGATAAGGGGAGACCACTACCAAAAATTACTAGAGATAAATATTTGTCTAGTTCTTCTTTTTCTTTAATTGAACATTTATCAATGAATCCTTCCATGACTTTTTGTTTATTTTTTCAATGAAAATTATCAAAATCTTTCCTTTTAGTTTTATTTTTTAACAATATTTTAAATTTATTTGGTGCACTATTACAAGAAAGTAAATGTTTAATCATGTGAAGAGGTTATCCATCAAAAGCATGTTGACAATAATTACAAGAAGCTATATAATGCTGCTTGTTATTTTTTCTTTCTTGTAACGTTTTAAAAATGATTCCTAAAATGCTGTGGTCTCATTTTCTGGTTGTGTTAGATTGAGTACTGTGCACTTTGTGCAGCAAGTACTGTACGAACCATTTTTAATAATGATAATTGTACTTACATGCCTTTTTTGGGTTGGGTATGTGGGATTTATAATCATACTCAATCTCTAATTTTTTATGTTCATACAGTACTTGCTTGCATGAAGTGTACAATACTCAACCTGCATATACCCCTCATTTTCTCATTTAAAAAAATTTATTATTTTGTACAACCATGGCAAAAAGTGGTAATGGTATATAACAGGGTATAAACTACATCAGGAAATTTTCCCCGTCACAATATTACGTCTGTAAATTTTAATATGTAAAGTTGTAATATTTGCATAAAAATTATGTAATATTTACACTCGATGTAATAATTGCATAATTTTTGTATGCTTATTTGCATAATATTACGGGCCCGCCGTAAACTTACGTAAATAGTGTAATAATTACATAAATCCACATCAGAAAAACTTCCTGATGTAGGTTGTTACCTTTAATTCAAATTTAAAAGTTTATTCGAATTATTTCCCCAAAAAAAATCTACAAAAAAAAAGTTTTAAATTTCAAATTCACTTTAAAAACGTGTTAAAAGGATTGGTCAATTGTGCCTGGATTAATTGTGTGTTTGTAGTATGACAACACATTTACATTGAATAACAAGATAGTTTGATTGAATTTCACCTTTTTCTAAGATTCCTTGGAGAGTTAAATTATCTTCTATTTTGCCTTCTCTTAATCACTTTCTAAATAACTCTTTGCTTTCTTCAGAGTTTAATTTGATAAGGTTGAGAAAGATATCTCTTTTTGGCATCATTTCTTACTGAATAAAGTTTCCCAGTGATGTTGTAGTAATGATTAAACTGATAAGCATAGAGAATCATATTTCTACAAGCCCCTTCAGTAGGATTTCTCTTACAAAATGCAGACCAGTTTTCTTGATTACAATGACACTTCATGACTATATCAAGTGCCTTTATATCTATATCAGATCTGTAACTACTACTTAGAATACTAATTACTCATTGTCTGATTTCTTTGTTATTTAACTGTTTAACATTTCCTTGCTCTTTATCAGCTAATTGCTTTTTCAATGTTTCAATTTTGTTTAATAATTCTTTATTTGCTTGTTGTTGTTCATTTATAATGTTTACCATGATTTTTGTTAATTATATTCTTCAATTTTTAATAAATACTTAATATCTTTCTTTTTATAAAAGCATTATTAAGTATATTTTATTAGTTTATTTTTATATGCTTATTTGTAAGTGTATATATATTTATACATAATAATTACATTCTTAATATTCTTATGGAAAAATCTATTATCATTTATTATTGTTTTTTTTTAATATTATCTATTGTTAGTCAAGAAGTATAAATGAAGACAATTTGTTATAAATTTTTTTTAAAATAACATTCATTGTATTGCTATTATTTATAAAACTCATTATTTCTTATCATCATTATTTGCCTTTTTGGCATAATATTTAGGATTAGGAACTAATTTACACTCAATTAGGGTTTTTATTCATGAATATCATGATGTGTTGATCGCTTGATTTCAGTCAGGAATTTTGCTATAAATGGTATTGCAGTTTTTGGGGAAGATCATCATTCTAGAAAAAACAAATAAATTCTAAAAATTATGTGTTACAATAAAAATTTTTATAAATAAATCAACGTAAATAATGGTTTACATTCAATTATTGTCACATTTAATTTA